CCAGAGAGGCATCATTTGCCCTACACACTATCATCTTTCCTACATAGTGGAGAGGGAAATGATAATGAAACACAGGAAAAGTGCTCTTAGGTAGGAGAGAGAGCATCAAAACCAAAAAGCAAGCCTTAAAAAGACCGTTCTCCACACTGCTGGTCATCCCCCACTAGGAAGTGAGTCATAGGTGACTACCAACAGCCACCCTGGACACAGCAGCACCAACAGATGCCTGGTCAGGATGTCTCATTCTGCTGGTAAATGGACTCAGTGAGGAGTCTAATCCACGCTGCAGCGAGAGATGTTTGCACTCAGCTCATTAAATCTGGAGTTATTCTGAAGAGGGGGAGAGAACTGACAAGTCAGAGGGAGGAATGGTGAAGAGCAGCAGCAAACATTCTCTGAGCAAGTCAGAACAGCTCCTCTGCTCCCTGGAGTCACGCAGCACACGCTGCACAGCCCCGGCCAGGCACAGAGGAACCCCAGGCACTCCCTCCCTGGCAGTGCTGGGAGCTCCTGCTGCTCCTCCACAGCGCTGAGAGCAGAGCAGTGCCAGGGCTGGCCCAGCCCTCCCGGCAGTGGGGGCACAACCCTGGCAGGGCTTGGGTCCAGCAGGATTTCTCTGAGCTCTCTCAAGAACCTGGCAACTTGTGACGTGGTGACCTGGAGGATCTGCTGGCTGGTCAGGTTGCTAAGATATTCTGAGTGCTAAGCAGCATGGAAAATGAAAGGAGCAGAGCTGGGGAGCAGTGAGAGTGAGCCCCAGCGGTCAGTCAGGTGGGGAGAGCACCTCACCCCCCGCTGCCTTCAGCCCCCCCGGGCCAAGGGGAAGCTCCTCCAGCCAGTTCTCCTGCAGCAGAGCTGGGCTGCTCTGCAGGGCTTTGAAGGGCAAGATTACACAGGAGGTGCCACCTGAGCAGCAGGAGAAACTTCTCTGCTGTGAGGGTGCAGAGCCTGGAGCAGCTGCCCAGAGAGGCTGTGGAGTCTCCTGCTCTGGAGAGATCCCAAACCCTCCTGGCTGTGACCCTGGGCACCCTGCTGGGGGTGAGCTGCTGGAGCAGGGGGTGGATGAGATGATCTCCAGAGGTCCCTTCCAGCCCCATCACAGTGGGATTCCAGGATTCCAGGACCATGGGATGCATGAAGAAGATGGAGAAATCCTCACTTCACATGCAGGGAACTTTCAAGGGGTTTGGCACATGAAAGTCAGTCTAATTCACAGCAGGAAGTGCATTTAAAGGGTTGTATAAATTCCCTGATAAATAAGTTCTTGGCCATGGATCAAGGAGCGAAGTTCTGTACAGAAACCCATCCGACTGGAGGGTCCAGTCAAAGCAGTCTCACTTTCCATCAGAACTGTTTAGCCATGGAGTTAATCAGAAGTGTCTTTTTCTGCACAGCAAACGTGTGTGTGAACCCTCAGACTGTCAGAGCACACAGCAGCTCCCCCCATGGTTTTCCAGAGTGCAGATGCTGCAGCAGCAGGTACAGGCTCCCCTCCTAGGGCACAGGCAAGGTTTAATCCAGAAACTAGTTAAGTCATGTGCAAGAATCCTCTGGCTCCCAAAACACCCCGAGCCAGGCCCTCTGCTGCCAGCTGTACCCATCTCCCCAGTAATGCCCTCCTTTTCTCTTTGATCTCTATCCTGTTCCTGTGGCCTGCCTGCAGGTTACAGTTTAATCCCAAATAGCTAGAGAAAAAGCACTTTCTCCAGATTAAAAAAAAAAACAACTCATGGTGTTTGTCCTTTTCACCAGTATTTCCAAACAACTAGCTCATGGGGCAGGAATTTGGAACAGGGAGTGTCAACCACCCAGTTCAGAAGGAAGTCTAATGATAAAAAAAAAAAAATATAATAATCCCAGATTGCATAATAATAAAGGCTTGAATTTGAATGTTTCATTGTGAGAGCTCTTCAGTTGTTTAAACATGCTCAGCAGGGAGAGGAGCCCCCGGGAGCAAAGAGCAGCATGCAAACACCCTGTGAGCCCAGGGGTGCTCAGGAGAACCCCAAGGCAGAGGGATGTTTGTGAAGAGATCAAGTCCACGCAGTGCTTTGAACAGCTCAGGTGAGGAGATAGGTAGAGCAATCTCTTGCTCGTTTGGCAGGCTGGTATGAACTTGGTTAACAAATAGAAGAAGAAATGAAAGTGAGAATGTAAAGTTAATTAGCATGGCAGGGTTTCGCCTGAGCCAAAGGACCAGCTGCACAGGCTGAGGGGAGCAGCAGCTTGGGCACAAGGAGGGCACGAGGCAGGAGCCCCCCCAGCCCTCAGTCTGAGCTGCAGTGAGTCTCAGATCCTGCAGTGTTATTTTTACATGCAAAAACATTGGTATGAGCACAGAGCATGCATTTTCTTCATAAAAAACTAATTTTACTATTAGAAAACTGAAGCGAAGATTTTTCATGAGAAGTTTTAAGCTGGGGGAATAACTCCTTGAAGGGAATTCCAGGGGAGTAATACCAGCATGAGTTAGGGATGTCCTTATCCCAAATGAGAGCTCCTGAAATCTCTGCACCACACCAGCAGGAGCCCTGCCAAGGCCACGCTTTCTCCACACATACCCTCTGGACCCAGCCCCACCAACCAGCTATCTTATCTGACCCAAGCCCAGGCTA